GCGGAACCCTCGCCCCAGCAAATTCAGAAACACGCCAGGGGCGACTCTTGTGGACCCAGAGCCACCCCCTTGGCAAGACTAGTAAGAGGAACGACTGAAAACTCAGATAAAACGGAGCTACAACAAGTGCAACCGTCCTCTTCAACCACAGTTGCAACACACAGGGAGTCGTATACATGTACATAATACGACCAGTATTGTGGCCAGCTGTGTTTGATGGTACGGTACGGTACGGGACAGATACGGGAGCCAGCAAATGGCCAGCTGTGTTTGATGGTGCGATACGGTACGGGACAGATACGGGATAGCGCCAGGCGTGACACAAACAAACAAACACACAAATACCAAATTAAAGCTGTGTGGAGCCTGGCTAGCACCAGCTTTAATTTGGTATTTGTGTGTGTGTTTGTGTCACGCCTGGCGCTATCCCGCATCTGTCCCGTACCGTACCGTACCATCAAACACAGCTGGCCGCAATATTCAAATAGGGCTTTCAAACACAAGATCACAACGTGAAGCAACTTGGAAGAATGGGTATGAATGCGAAGTGTATGGGGGAATGCATGTAGGGCGATAGTGTGGGATCGAATCCCAGGATATGCCTAAAAAAAATAGGAGAATTAAAAAATTTATACAATCCCTATGTTTTTTTGCCGTCATCAAGGCGGTAGACAGTGTCGTATTACCCTCGATCGTACCTGTCCCGTACCTATCCCGTACCGTACCGTAGCATCAATTACGGCTGGCCACAATGCATATTCAAATAGAGCTTTCAAATGCAAGATCATAACGTGAAACAACTCGGAAGAATTAGTATGTATGCGAAATGCATGGGGGGATGCATGCAGGGCGCGCGATAGTGCGGGTTCGAATCCCAGGTTATGTCTTAAAAAAATTTTTTTTAAGGTCATCAAGGCAAAAAAGCATAGCGTAGGGCCCTGAGCTTCCAAGCTCTCTCGTTAGGATGACCCAAAGGCCGACCGCCTATCGTGGGGTCCGTCGCATTGAAGGATGATGGTACAACAGATTGATAAATATGGTGGTAAAGACACACCTGGCAATATGGCGGTAAACACACGCCTGCCCACACACGCTCTCTAGGCTGCAAAGTTCTGGCACAGAGCTCTCCTTCTCACCACCACCACCATCAGTTCGCGCCTGGCGCCTGGTCGATGCATGGCTGGCGGTATCCGGCATAGCAGGCTGGTACATCAAGTAGCGCATGGCACATAGATGATGACACAGCAACGACATAGCTCGATTGCGACGTACGTTTCGTCCCCGCTGGACTCATCAGGCAATCTTCTTCTTGGATGTCTTCATACGGAGCTTGACTTGGGAGAATGAAGTTGAAGACACCACTGCAGCTGTACTTATGGTTGATAAATATGGTGGTAAAGACACACCTGGCAATATGGCGGTAAACACACGCCTGCCCACACACGCTCTCTAGGCTGCAAAGTTCTGGCACAGAGCTCTCCTTCTCACCACCACCACCATCAGTTCGCGCCTGGCGCCTGGTCGATGCATGGCTGGCGGTATCCGGCATAGCAGGCTGGTACATCAAGTAGCGCATGGCACATAGATGATGACACAGCAACGACATAGCTCGATTGCGACGTACGTTTCGTCCCCGCTGGACTCATCAGGCAATCTTCTTCTTGGATGTCTTCATACGGAGCTTGACTTGGGAGAATGAAGTTGAAGACACCACTGCAGCTGTACTTATGGTTGATGGTGCCCATTACTGTGCTGACGTGGACCCCCTTTACCACTCTCTTAAGCTATGTCCTCTGGACCACCGTTTCTTACAGTTGTTCATTAAATTTATCTTTCAGTGTAAAGTAGCTCACCCGGTTGCCAGTTTAGATTCTCTATTTTGTAGGCACAGTACACCTGCTTACACCACTCGCGGCTCTTCTGCAAATAATCTTTCGTTATGCCGATATAAGACTGCATGTGTGTATCGCTCATTGTCTAGTAGGATTGCTTTACTTTGGAATGCTCTGCCCTTCGAAATGAAGTCTTGCAATACGTCTTCTGCATTTAACGCCCATCTTGCCTGCCTTCTTAATGACGGGCCACAATGTACCCGGTTAAAACAGCTCCTTTTTGAAAATGTTTTCGATGAGTGATGTGTCGCTTTATTTTGCTCAAATTGGTGCTTTTCTCCAATGTCATGCAGTCGTATTTATTCAGCTTTTATTCCCGTAGCTATGCAGAAGACGTTACTTCAGTAACGTCTGGCGCTAGCCAGGGTCCACACAGCTTTAATTTGGTGTTTGTGTGTTTGTGTGTTTGTGTCACGCCTGGTGCTATCCGTATCTGACGGCAAAAAAGCATAGGATGTTATAATTTTTCAATTCTCCTATTTTTTTCAGGCATAGGCCACCCTTTCTTTTTTCGTTGTTTAACGTCCGCGCCCGCGTACCTTTTTGCCTCCGACCGGAAAAAAAAACAAGAAAGTAGTAGTACAAATAATATGCGAAGTTGTAAATACATGATTGTGTAGTTTCACAGTGTGCCGATCATGACCTTAAAGGGGAAGTATACCCTAAAATCAAATTTTCACCAGTTGTAGTCTTCTGGGTGCTGAGTCGAATGGTCTTGGTCCGAGGAAGCTGCGACGCTCCCTTCCCACTTGAATCCCAATCGAACTCGCGCACTTCCACCGAAACTGGGTGACTGCGCCCTACTAGATGGGGATTTGTATGCAAAATGTCACTAAAAGCGCCATTTCGTTCTTATAAAAGCACGGATGACCGCCATTGGCCCATATGTTGTAGTCTTTTGGACGCTGAGTTGACTGGTTTTGGTCCGAAAAGGCTGCGATGCAGCGTTCCTCCTATATTCCCAATCGAACATGGTTGAACAAGCGGTCACGTGCTCCTGGGTGCCCAAATCACCTGGTCACCGCGCCAGCAGGCGACAACTTTCACACCAAGGTTCAACTCGAGTGACAGGACTGCACCCAAAAAAGGTCAAACAGGCTAGTAAGTTGTACCCTGCAGGCACGGTGACCAGGTGACTGGTGTACGCAGGAGCACGTGACCGCTTGTTCAACCATGTTCGATTGGGAATAAAGGAGGAACGCTGCATCGCAGCCTTTTCGGACCAAAACCAGTCGACTCAGCGTCCAAAAGACTACAACATATGGGCCAATGGCGGTCATCCGTGCTTTTATAAGAACGAAATGGCGCTTTTAGTGACATTTTGCATACAAATCCCCATCTAGTAGGGCGCAGTCACCCAGTTTCGGTGGAAGTGCGCGAGTTCGATTGGGATTCAAGTAGGAAGGGAGCGTCTCAGCTTCCTCGGACCAAGACCATTCGACTCAGCACCCCGAAGACTACAACTGGTGAAAATTTGATTTTAGGGTATACTTCCCCTTTAAACTTATAATCTTGCCTCCCGGGCATGCCTTTGTCTTGTGTTCTTTTTCTTTTTTTGTTGGCTTTTAAATATCGTACGGTGTGTGTCCTAATAAAAATCCAGATGTAATGAATTCATGACATGCTAACTCCATGCTATGTACCTGTTTTGTTGGATTCATCAGGCATGTGCTCCAATGTACAGTTGTGGCAAGTGAAATCCGACACTTGGCATAAGGGACTGCACCGTGCATCCTGCAGCCTCTGCAGCCCTGCATGCATACGTACAGTACATGTGCTGCATACAACTTTATCTGTCTGATGACAGAATTCGTACTCAGCACAGTCAAGGTTCAAAAGGTGCTGGCAAAAAGGAATGGGAATTGGATACCAATACTCCTTATGTGTACCATATTTGTGAACTGTGTGTATCTAAGCTGTGACCTTTCGACCTGTTTGGGATGCATGCGGCTCTATAGTACAAATTAGGTGCAGTGCATTACATCATTGATGTCCATTTGAGGCGCTGTCCCCTATGGCAAGTGTCGGATTTCACTTGCCACAACTGTACCATCAAAGAGTGTTGTTCTATGCCTGCAAGTGCCGTTAGACCCAGAAATATTGTGTATATCACATGCTTTACTGGTCAAAATGTTTGATTGGGGTTTCCAGTTTTTGGAATGGGCTTTTGTTTTTTTTCCGCCCCCCCGCGTACCTTTTCGCGAAAAAAAGGACGTTAAACAATGAATTAACAAAGGGTGGCCATATCCTGGGATTCGAACCCGCACTATCGCCCTACATGCATTCCCCATACACATCGCATTCATACCCATTCTTCCATGTTGCTTCACGTTATTATCTTGCGTTTGAAAGCTCTATTTGAATATTGCGGGCAGCTGTATGTGACAGCTGTGTTTGATGGTACGGTACGGGAGACGGTGTCGTATTACCCTCGATCGTACCTGTCCCGTACCTATCCCCTACCGTACCGTGCCATCAAAGACGGCTGGCCACAATGCATATTCAAATAGGGCTTTCAAATGCAAGATCACAATGTGACACAACTTGGAAGAATTAGTATGTATGCGAAGTGTATCGGGGGATGCATGCAGGGCGCGCGATAGTGCGGGTTCGAATCCCAGGTTATGTCTTAAAAAAAGGATTTTTTTTAAAGAATTTATAACATCCCTATGCTTTTTTTGTCTAGGTCATCAAGGCAAAAAAGCATACCGTAGGGCCCTGAGCTTCCAAGCTCTCTCGTTTCTTGTGTACTTGCATACTGGTATTAGTTTAGTCCCACAATCTGCGATAAAATGATCCGCTGTAGCACCTACTCCACTTTTATGTTTATGTATCTATGTCATTCGGATCTTCCCAAGTTGTACAATGTACTGTGGAGATACATGTACCGAATTCAAATAAATCAATACCATCAATACCAATCCGCTGCAGTAGGGCCACCTACTCACTCATACTATCCACTGCAGCATGATATCGCGTTGTATGCATTTTACAATATGCTATTTTACCGTCGAATACACATAGACGCTACCCAATACGCACCACAGTAGGGAATGACGATCACCTACATGTATAAATAGTCGTGTTTTGGTGGCGATGGTTGCCGGTGTCATTAGTTCTTCGTTCTGTTTACAGGAAAGCAACAAGCATTCAGCTCACTCTCTGTAAATGTTCGACAGTCATTTTAGGTTCGTTTTGTCCAACATTTCGGAATGGCGACCTGCAGCAACAACGCGACAAGCCCTGAGGAACCCAAGATCCAGTTCCGAGGGCTCAAGAACAGGGGCCAGATGTGCTACATCCATGTGGTAAGCAAAGAAGCCAACCATTTGCAATCTATATCCCAGTTGTTGGCGGCTGCATCCGTATCCATGATTTTAAAGGGTATTTGTGCCATGCTCTACGATGGATTCACACTTGCAAGAGGGCTGCTGAGAATTTTAATTAGCACGAAATATTTGATCGGTCCTACGTTTTCGAGTATTCTTCACCAATACTATCCATGTATTCGTATGTCCTCTCTTCTGGTGATTTTGTAGATCTTGCAGTCTTTGAACGTGTGCCTTATCCGCGGCATTGTAATGCTTCAGTCAACAGAGGGCAGCCCGGATAAACCAGTCATCAACGCACTGTAAGTTTTTAATCTCTTTATGAACAAGGGAGAATGAAGTTGCCAACGAGAGCGCTTCCCTGTAGGTCTTCCTACAGCTTACTTAATGCTGTTCACCTAACCGTTCGATCATTGTAGTGTATATTCATGACTATGTGTATTGACATTGTAGCTATAAAAGCGCTAATTGTTTGCCGTTCATTCCTCGATATATCTCCAGCAGGAGAAATAAGAAGTGCATTGTGGACGTTTGTCAGAAAGGGTATTTTGTAGGATTGCGCGATTCAATATTATGCAATTTCTGTCCTCCTTTCTACAGGGCGGAGTTTTTCACATGGTCGAGTGGAGAACCAACAGTAGCCAAAAAGGAGGATCTTGGCACTTGGGAGGGCGTGAGAGTTAAACGAGCAAAGCCCAAGAAGGTCAAAGGCCCTCAAGTGCCGATTGGTACTCCGTTCGAACCATGCCAGTTCTACGAGATCATGCCAATCGTGAACCCATATTTATCAGTATACGTAAGTTAGGTGCTCTTTCATCTTTGTTCAGATTGATTCACGGTCTCTATGGCGAACTCATAGGAATGCTTTCTGTCTGTTCGGCATAAAAACATTTTTGTTAGGTCTTCAGTCAAAATGTTTAACATTTTTAATGGCAATAAAAAGACAGGTGTCCCGTTTGCTTAAAACCTTATAGTATTACTTGCCTTTAAAGGAATTCACGGGTATGAATTCACACAACAATATTGACATTTCCGACACTTCCGATGTCTTTCTGTTCTGTAGGGGGAGCAGGAAGATGCCGAGGAATTCCTCTCTTCCTTGCTCAATAAATTACACGATGAGGCAAAATGGGGTGAATTTGTAGCAACGGCACCATCGCCGATTCAACACCTGGTTTTCGGCGAGCTCAAGAACACTATCACCGACAGGAAGGGCGTCGTGGTCTCCGTCACCGAAGAAAGATTTGTCACGCTTCCGCTAGGTGTCGACGACATCCGCATCCAGACTATTCAGGATGCATTCGACGTCTTAGCAAGTGCCGTGGAACTGGAAGAATATGCTGAAGGAGCGGTTAGGAAGACCACGTTCACGCGGCTTCCCACCCTCCTCATGGTTCACTTGAAACGATTCACGTTCGATTCAACACGCGGTTTAGAGAAAATACACAAGCGCGTGAAGTTCGGATTCAAGTTGACCCTGCAACGATGTGAGTATCATACTTCTATTATTATAGTCTCGTTTTCGTTTTATCAGTTGACTGAAATTGTACTAGGATCACCAAAAGTAACGAGATTTTTCAGTTAGGACTGTGCTCTTAACCATAAACGTTAGTTTCGTGAATTCCAGTTTCACATTTCGGAAGTTTATAATCTTTGTCTCCTATTTGTGTTATCCAGCCATGATTGAGCCATCTCCACTTGTGTCGCCGGAGTACGAGCTTATTTCGGGTAAGTGCATTTCCTTTGACATCCCTAGTATGAGGGGTGAAAACAATAATAATTAATATTAAAAGTGCACAATTGTGGTAAATTCATGTAAAAATCAAAATCTCCTTTATCATGCGTAATATGAGGGATGAAAACCATGATTCAGAAAGTGGTGGCTATCACGCAACAGCATTGTAAATGCAACAATTATGTCAGTCCATTAAACACGCTATCACAATAATTTCATGCATTCACCGCATTAAAGGGCACAATGTATATTTGAATATTTCTCTTCTGCAGTCATCTATCACCACGGCGCCACAGGAGACAGTGGTCATTACTCCAACGACTCCAAAGATCCCACCACTGGAAAATGGATTCGCTTCGACGACGCAGTGGTGAAGGCCCTAGACGCCACTCAGGTCACCAATTATCCGGCGGGGAAGACCCCCTACGTCTTGTTCTATAGTCGAGTCTAGGAGTAATGTGTACACTCCCTTTGTTTAGACTCCACACATCTAGTTATAGGACTGAATAGGATATCTTGGTTTAGAACTGTCTAGACTATATCTAGTTTTAGGACTAAAGTGGTATGACGTCTTGTTTTATCCACGCATGTAGGAGTAATGTGAAGACTCCTTCCGTTTCGTTACTTTTAGAAATTTTGTGACTCACTATCTCGTTCATTCCACTAGTGATGTCTTATCTAAAATAAAAATCATTTTTTTGTCTTTATCCGCTGCTCTGAACAATCTTGTGACGATTGCGCTAGGTGTCGAAGTATCGTCGTACACTGTTACGGCCCTACAAGCACATGGGAGGTATTTTCATCCGTCTTTGTGCAGTTGAATTTTATGAATACGCAGTGTTGCCCGCAAACTGTCTTTGTACATTTATGCATTCAGGTGTATTTTTAGATTGTCTGCCGACAAAGCACACAGGCGCTGATCCGTGGATATGCAGCAAGCATAAATTAATAGTTTTTAAAGTGGCCATACCGGTAGATGATCAGCCAGTGATTAGAAAAGTGGCATTAACCACTGAAATAAATCCACGAAGGCTCGACGAAGAGAGACGAGCGAGTTCACCATCATGATTGTGAGTGGTCGTGACTCGCTTTGTTCATGAATACACATAAACGATGATCGAATCAGTGTGTTTACTTTGCTTGTGGTGGCCCTCGCTTCGATACCACCACCGAGTGCTAAAAGAAGATCAACACTGAGAAGCAATTGGATGAACATGCGACTACTTCAATAAATGGCATGAATCGATGCCTTAAATATGCAGTAACAAAAACGACAATAGTGAACATTACAATAGAGAAAGATTCGAAAATGTTTTGTTCAACACTCATCAGGAAGCATCGTTGAACTAATGAACAATGCATCAGAAATGTACCTTTATAAACACCCAAATATAAGTAACACCTGGTGACACCTAGTTCCAGTGCTGAAGGGTACAAGTGTGATATGTGAGAGTGAAAGTGAGAAAAGCACAACACGTGCTAATAACAAAGTGCTAATCCACTACGATGTTATAATGATAACTGCAATAATAATAATAATAACTTTATTAGGATGACCCAAAGGCTGACTGCCTATCGTGGAGTCCGTCGCATTGAAGGATGATGGTACAGCAGAGTACAGATTAATACAGTACTCAGGGGATAGTAACGGCCAAGCATGGCCACAAGGAAGCGTATAAATACTTCTTTAAGAACTTTAACATGGGTAAGACGTGATTTAAAAATTAATACAAAAAACTCAAAAACAGAAGCTGCAACATCTGGAAGCACTGTTCACACGTTCACGAGGTGTGTCACTAAACAGCAGTGCTAGTTTTCGTAAGTTGTTTAGTGATGATATCTTTTCGACTCCAACTCGGGGAAGGTCTAAGTCTTGCTGCGTTAAATGATTGATTGATCCTGATGGCAACTGTCAGTCTGAGGCAAAGTCCACTGCGGACACTCTGAACAAACAGTTTGTCTCTCCCGGCCTTCCCGACGATCCGAACTGGGTTATCCCGCCCCTGCACCCAGCTCCAGAGCTGCGCGCTCCACTTCTGGAGGTCTTTACAACAACTGGTGTGGTTCGCAAACAACTGAAACGTCTTAAGAGCTGCAAGTCTCCTGGAAAAGACGGTATTCCAAATGAAGTCCTTAAACTGCTGGTGCCTTCCTTGTCGTATCCCCTGTGCTTGCTCTTCAACTTGTCATATCGTGCAGGAGTCTTCCCATCTGCGTGGAAATCTGCTATTGTTGTCCCGATATTTAAGAAAGGACAACGCTCCCAAGCTGTTAATTACAGGCCCATTTCCCTCCTACCAACTATATCCAAGGTCTGTGAACGCATCTTCTATGAATCTCTCTACCACCATGTCACCCCTGCCCTCTCTTCTGCACAATCCGGCTTCTGTCGTGGCGACTCAACTACTTTGCAATTGACACGCTTAATCCAGGATATTTACGGACATCGTAACCTGAAGAAGCATGTGGGTCTTGTCTTTTTTGATCTGTCAAAAGCGTTAGATACAGTCTGGCATCGAGGCCTACTTGCAAAGCTTGAGTACATTTTTTCTAGTACGTGGTACAGCTCTGCAGTGGCTGTCGTCATATTTGTCGTCCCGTCATCAAACTGTCCGTGTCTCTGCTTCTTTGTCCGATCCTTTACCTGAAGTGTCTGGTGTTCCACAGGGGTCCAGACTGGGTCCACTCCTTTTCCTAACTTATGTGAACGATCTGCCCTCTCTAGTTCCAGACGTCAGCCTTTTTGCTGAAGACACTGCACTGTTGTGCTCTGACAGCTCGCCGTCCAACCTCGTTACCTCCATGCAGACCGGCATTAACTTCACGATAGCATGGATGGAAGCTTGGAAGCTGAGGCCCAACATCGCGAAGACCAAAGCAATGTTCATCAGCCCATCGCCGCCTACTCAGCCGTTGCACTTTCCAGGAGCCAATGCTAACGTTAAAATTGTTCATGAGCACAAACACCTTGGTGTTATATTCGACAGCCATATGTCCTGGTCCCCACAGATCCAGTCAGTATGCAAGCGAGCTAGCTCCTCCCTTGGCATGTTGCAACCTCACTGCCGAAAATTGTTCTTTACGTCGTATATTCTACCTATATTTGATTACTGTGACACAGCGTGGTGCGGTCTGTCTGTTTGCTTTTCTTCATTTGGTCCTTTAAAATGAAGCGGCTTTTTATTTCCTTTTTCTTCTTTTGCACCGAGATATTATTTCTTGCTGTTTTTTACCGGATGTGTCACGACTTTGAATTGAATTGAATTTTCCTGAATTGATTTGATTTTTGGCGTTATGGCGAGGACAAGAAGAGGTACACACTGGTCACATGGTGATAATCAAACAAAGTGAGTGAGAAGCGTGACAGAAGTGTTAAGGGGTTGCAAGGGAACGCAAGCAAGAGCGCAACATAAGAGTGAAACGTGTAACGTGTAACGTGGAAATGACACAACCGCACATGCACAAACTCAAACACAAACGCACACACACACACATACACTCTCACACACGCAAACATACACACACACACACACACACACACACACAGAAGTGTCCTTTTCCGTTAAAGACCATCCCTCGTACTCATTGATTTCGGGCCTTCTGTCCCTGATTTCAATCGCCTCCATTATCTTTCGACTTGGGAGTACAAGTTTCACTCTTGTGTTGCGCTCTGGCTTGCGTTCACTCTAACAGCCTTCCAACTTGCAAGGTTCTAAGTTGACATGCATGAATATCCGCCAACGTCCTTACCAGCTGAGACTTTCAGTTTTTGCTTATCCTGGTTGCGCTCACCTTCCCCTCAATATGTTATTTCTATAACTCAGAACCTTCGAAGTTGGAAAGCTGTTGGAGTGCGCATCCAGGATGTGCTAGAGCTGTAAGCCAATCAGTTGTGGATCGTCAGTACCGTCGGTCAGTGTCGTGCAATGTTATCGCATGAGCTGATTGTTGAGTACCTGGTGGTGTTTGTGGACATTATACATTAATAGCGTAACATTATTTTAGTTCCTTGGTTCTTTTCTTCTTCTTCTATAAATTAATCCTTGCCTCTCCATCCCAGTCCATAAGTATAAGATTTGAAAATTAAATTTTTAAGATTTACAAACAATACGCTGCAGTAGGGCCACCTACTCACTCATACAATCCGCTGCAGCTTGATATCGCGTTGTATGCATTTTACAATATGCTATTTTACCGTCGAATACACATAGACGGTACCCAATACGCACCACAGTAGGGAATAGCGATCACCTACATGTATAAATAGTCGGGTTGTGGAGACGCTGGTTGCCGGTGTCATTAGTTCTTCGTTTGTTTACAGGAAAGCGACAATCATTCAGCGCACTCTTTGTAAAACTTTCGACAGTCATTTTAGGTTCGTTTTGTCTAAAATTTCGGAATGGCGACCTGCAGCAACAACGCGACAAGCCCTGAGGAACCCAAGATCCAGTTCCGAGGGCTCAAGAACAGGGGCCAGATGTGCTACATCCATGTGGTAAGCAAAGAAGCCAACCATTTGCAATCTATATCCCAGTTTGCCTCCGTATCCATGATTTAAAGGGTATTTGTGCCATGCCCTATGTTGGATTCACACTTGCAAGAGGGCTGCTGAGAATTTTAATTAGCACGAAATATTTGATCGGTCCTACGTCTTCGAGTATTCTTCACCAATACTATCCATGTACTCGTATGTCCTCTCTTCTGGTGATTTTGTAGATCTTGCAGTCTTTGAACGTGTGCCTTATCCGCGGCATTGTCATGCTTCAGTCAACAGCGGGCAGCCCGGATAAACCAGTCATCAACGCACTGTAAGGCAATTAGTTTTTAATCCCTTTATGAACAAGGGAGAATGAAGTTGCCAACGAGAGCGCTTCCCTGTAGGTCTTCCTACAGCTTACTTAATGCTGTTCACCTAACCGTTCGATCATTGTAGTGTAGATTCATGACTATGTGTATTGACATTGTAGCTATAAAAGCGCTAATTGTTTGCCGTTCATTCCTCGATATGTCTCCAGCAGGAGAAATAAGAAGTGCATTGTGGACGTTTGGCAGAAAGGTTATTTTGTAGGATTCAATATTATGCAATTTCTGTTCTCCTTTCTACAGGGCGGAGTTTTTCACATGGTCGAGTGGAGAACCAACAGTAGCCAAAAAGGAGGATCTTGGCACTTGGGAGGGCGTGAGAGTTAAACGAGCAAAGCCCAAGAAGGTCAAAGGCCCTCAAGTGCCGATTGGTACTCCGTTCGAACCATGCCAGTTCTACGAGATCATGCCAATCGTGAACCCATATTTTTCAGTACACGTAAGTTAAGGTGCTCATTCATCTTTATCCAGATTGATTTACGGTCTCTATGACGAACTCATAGGAATGCTTTCTGTCTGTTCGGCATAAAAACATTTTAGTTAGGTCTTCAGTCAAAATTCAAAATGTCATTTACATTGATAGGCAATAAAAAAGACAGGCGTCCCGTTTGGTTAAAACCTTGCTTTTAAAGGAATTCACGGGTATGATATCACACAATAATAATGACATTTCCGACACTTCCGATGTCTTTCTGTTCTGTAGGGGGAGCAGGAAGATGCCGAGGAATTCCTCTCTTCCTTGCTCAATAAATTACACGATGAGGCAAAATGGGGTGAATTTGTAGCAACGGCACCATCGCCGATTCAACACCTGGTTTTCGGCGAGCTCAAGAACACTATCACC